CCCCAAAACCCCAAAACCCCAAAACCCCATGTGAAAATATAGATACAATTTGAAATGGATTTATTAAATTATTTTATTTATTCGCTCATTAAACTTAAATTAGTTAAATTTATCTTATTATATTTCTATATAGTTTTTTGGTAAACAAACTTTCCAATGAGTAAAATCTCAGAACTTATATTATTCTGTATTTATTCTCAAAATTTTCTCTGGTATAGCCAACTTCTTTTTTCTTTTTAACTAACCTCTCTATAGACTTTAGCAACTTAGATCTTCATCAATTTCATTAAGCATCAAATCTTAAAACCTAAAATTACTTAAAACCAGATTGGTATCACTTTAAATTTCGTTTCTATTGTAAGGCTTAAGTGGTCTACTTTATATCAAGCTATTTTTGCTCTAACCAAATTTTAGATATATATCTGGCAAAAACTGTTCTGAGGTAGTTTGATAAGCCTCTAAAGTTTCCCTAACTTCTGTATTTTTAATAACTTCCTTGCTTTATTCAGTTTTTATTTCCTACTCTACTTTCGTGATTGTTTCCTCAATTTATGATATATTCTAATTAGGAGCAAGCTTTATTGGTTTACTTTAATTAGCTACTGCTCTTAATTTCATTTTTAAATATCTTATCAAATCAATCGATACAATTGTTAGTACTACAAGAAGATTGAAGATTGTTACTAATAACAATAGTAAAATAAATATTTTTGAATTATCTAAGATTAGTTCTATTTTTTGCATAAAAAACGTTTAAGTTAATAATAAAAACAGCAAATGCATGTATATTAATATATTCATCAGCATCGAAGCCTTAGAGATGCTACTGATATCTCTGTAATTAAGTATCAATTTAAATTGAATTGTTGATAAGATCAATTATGAATACATCTAAAATGATATGCTCATAAACGAGATACTGAAACTGTAGAATAGTCTTGATAAGCATGAAACTAATAATAATTTTTATTCTTTCTTTTCTAAAAATATATCAATCAATAGCATTTTATATAAATACTCTCTCAAGATACGAGAATAGTTTATAGTATTAGTATCTTTTGTCTTTGAGATCTTAGTCAAGAGATTAATCTCAATATCTTCTCTTTTTTGAGATATAAATTTTTATTATTCATCATACTACTTTTAGATAATATTTAAAGCAACTGTGATAGGGATGAATATTAAAAAGATAGCAAGTATACAAATAAATATCATTAATCTAATATCCAATAAATTATTTTAGTCCAAAAATATTATTTTTAGGCTATAAAAAATTCTTATAGATAACGGAAGATATAAAAATTGCAAAATATAGCCAATCATTCTAAAATTAAAAAATCTGCCTATCTTTATAATAAGAGATTGAATTTTAAGATTTTTTGTTTTTCTAATTAGAAGATTTTTTATTTTTGCATTAGCATGAATTACTTTGATAGCGAATTCCTTAATAATCAATAGCATCAACGTGAATATAATAATCATGAAATAACCTTGAATTTACTCAAAGATAAATTCATAGTAGCCTAGTTATGAGAATTTTCTATTTAATTCTAGAGAATCATATTATTTGCCATTATTTTTTTCAAATTACAGCTTTTTAATTAAAAACCCAAAATTTAATACTTTGGCTGTTTTAAGCATGAATGAGTATACTTAATCAGGCATAACAACATCAAATAATGGCAAATTGATAATTTATTGAAATATAAAAAATTATTGTAATGCCAAAATCAAGCACTCATTTCTATAAATCATTAAGTTTGTTTTTCTTACTTTTTAATTGAAGAGATTAATGAAAATATTAAGAATATAGTTACAAGCATAAGTAGAATCTCCCCTAATTTTTGATAATATAACTGTAATTCTTTAAAATTAAATCAAATATATATATTACCTTCTTCAATATCATTTTCAAGTTTTATTGCTAAAAATTATTTCAAAACTATCAATTATTTTTATCGAAAATCATAGATTGATTATGCTAAAGTCAAATATATAGGAATCTACAGAAAAATTAAAAATTAAGTCCTTACATTAAACTTTTAAATATTATCAAGAGATTATTTATCAAATATCAAACTTAAACTACTCTTATTATTTTGATCAATATTTATTTCAAGATATAGAGCCTCATCAAACAGCGAGTTTTCTATTTCAAATACAGGATTTGCTCTCAATAATTATTCGATTAGAAAATCTATATCAATAGCAGACTCAGATTAATTGAATGAAAATAGAAGCTAGTTTTATGCCCATTATAATGTAATGCTTGAGAGTTGTATTGTTTGTACTGGTTTTATCACTGGTTTCTTTTAATTTATAATTATTAACAGCATTAATGACTCATTAATTACTTTTTTATCGCTAATTTTAGGATTTATTAAAATTTGGATTTAATTTCCATTAAAATTTCGTGTGTTAATCAATAAATCATCATTTAATATCTAAATAAAATTTCCCTCATAGGTTAACTAAATTTTGAGGCCACTTCTCCTCATAAAATCTGTTCTAGGAACAATGTATGAATGACTAAAATTTTAATCAATAAAAATTGTATCAATTCTTTTTTAAAAAAAGTTTTACTTTCTTAATTTTATTCTTAATGATAGGAATTGCTCTTAAGGAGATAGAATAGATGCGCTAGAGGGTTTATTTGTTATAATTGGTGAAGGATCATTAGTTTGTGGACTTGGAGTGATAGTGCTTACTTAATTTGTAGTACTAGGCTATGTTGTAATTAGTTCGGTAACCACATCTAGATTCCAAATTATATCTTTTTAAATAAGTAGATCCTAACTGTCTATAGCTACTGTTAGTTTAATTTAATATAAAGCTTTTGATGATATTTAGTCAGAATAAATTGAATAGCTTTAGTTTTCTGAATGAAATGTAATAAAATCTGGAAGTAGAGAGCCATCTATCAATGAAGAATAAAATATCAAGGTATATCCACAGTTACAATTAAAATTTGCAGTGGAAAAATCTATAATTCTATTAGGGTCTTAAATCTTGTATTGATAATTAATGCTTGGTTCTAATTAATAACTTATCTTTGGTTCTTGATCGCACTTAATAACAATTTTAAAATTATAAGATTAATTGTATGTCTCCTCTTTATAGAAACTAGAATACCCCACAATAATATTATAGCTCCCAATTGATAAATAGTCTTGAGAATAAATCTTGATTAACTTACTATTGACATCATAAAAAATAATTTCAAAGTTTTAAGGAGGAATCTCTATGCTAATCTTTGGATCTGCGCACTATATTATTTACTTTTTGAATTATGCTAATTATAAGAATCTTGCAGGCTCTTTTATAATATAAGTTTAATCTTTCAATTAATCGTTCTCAATTTGATTTATGGAGCAATCGATAAAATTGATTTTAATTGTTCTCGAAGCTTTTTTCTGATTTGGAAAAGTCGCAGTAATAACGATAGTATTTAAACTTGCTTTAATCATCTAAAATTTTGATGCTTTTAAAACATTATCTACTGCATTAAAACTTACCTCATTACTTGTGTTAAAAAGATATGAATAAAATCTAATTTTGTCTTGACAGACTTCATCTCCAATAAAATATCTTGATACATCAAGTATAAAATCTCCGTCCTGAATTATATGATCAATTTACTATTCTGTTTATTAGTTTAAGATAGGTTGAGAAATAGTATCGCAAGAAGATGTCCAATCAGCATTTATAGTATTTTGTAGAATCACATTCAAGGAATAAGAGTTATTTTAGTAAAGAGTAATATTATTTAGAGCTGTAAGAGGATATTAGTAATTATTTTGAATCGTGTATGAAGATGAATATAACATTTAATATTCATTTAATACTTCTTATGCTGAATTGTTAGGTGAGCAAGATTTAGATAAATTATTTGTATTTACATGAAAGAATGATCGGTTATAGGCAATCTTATTATTGTATGCATTTGAAATATACCATACCTCGTCCTTTGAAATAAATATCGCGCTTTTTAATTAAAAAATACTCTTATAAGTGATGATTGATACTTTGATTTTACCACCTGTATTGTTTAAAGAATGAAAATGCTATAAATGAAACACTTTTGAGTCAAACATGTTTTAATTTATTACAAAGTAAGAAGTAGAATTTTCTCAATAAATATCAAGTAGTTTATAGAAAGTATTTTTCGATTCTAGGATTTTCCAAATTGGTTAATTGGTTGATTTGCTTACTTAGAGAATAAAGAATAGTTATTTGTAATTTGAACTATATTGATAAATATCAACAGCACCAACAATTATTTCACTTTGATTATCTTCATAAACTTTAAGTTCTCTTATTAGTTAGTTGGGGTCACGAGTAGTATTTAAGTATGAAAATCCATGGTTCCATATAGATTTCCCATTTGTCTAATTAAGTTTTATTATTCCCAAAATATGCAAGTAACTTTAAAATTAAGTGGTCACATTTATGACAGAATGAGATACATAGAGAAACTGCTCATTAGGGTCTTAGGTAAAAGCAAAGAACTAATCTTGAATTAAATTAGATCCTTGGTAATCAAAAGCCCAAACAGGACTCAATATACTTTAAGTATTCGAGAAATCAAGTTTTGTAATGATTCTCAGCCTCTAAGTTATATTTGTAAGGTGCATGAAAACTTGATCTCTTTTGTTTAACAAACCACTATTTGAAAATAAATTATTGAATAAAACCTCATTTTATTGACTGTCTCGGTATACCTTGTATAAAGATCCATCTTGTATATTCAGTAAAACAATAAAGATATATCCATTAACCTAGTTTGATAATAATGCAAGGGCTTTCATTGAGTGTTATGCTCTATCTTAAAACTTTATGCCAAGAACTTAAGGAGGTATAGTTGGATTTTGTTCAAAATTAAAATATCTTGCCCAATCTTCTGTTTAAGAGCTGCTGCTAAAATACTAAAATACTATTTTAATAGCACTCCTAACTACACTACTTGATACTCCACCAATAATAATGTTTTGCTCACCATCAATATCAAACTCAGTAGGAGAGGAATTTCCAGATGAGTTTCCAAAGCTCTTAGGAAAGTGCCAATCATAGCAATTTTACAATTATCCCATAGATCTAAAAGTTGGTTTGGTTGTAGTAAGCCTATTTTAGAAAAATAATATTGCCAGGATAAAGGTTATTAAGGAAATACTACTCATATTTAATTTAATGTAATTGCAATAATTTAATTTTGAAACGTGATACTTTTGGAATAATTCTAAATATGTCTTTATAATTCATCTTTTAAATAATTCATTTGCTCACTCAACTTTTCAATATTCTAATCATTTGGGGTTTTGGGGTTTTGGGGTTTTGGGG